AGTGTCGCCTGGGACACTTTGAATCCAAGCGTCAACCAGACCAGCCTCCTTGACTATAGCATTTAGAAAAACGCTATCATATCCCAGCCTGTCCTTGGGCCTAGTAATGGTGTTAAAATCACCTCCAAAGACTACCAGCCGGGATGTAAAGAGGTAAGGTTTAATCCTCGCAAAGAGGTTCTTCCTGTCCCACTTGGACTGTGGGCCATAGATATTGATGAGACGGAGCTCATGCCCCCTTACTAGAACATCCAGAATCAGACATCTTCCGATCTCTACCTCAATTATCCGCCGACACGTTACCATGCCGGTAAAAAGCACCGCGACTCCGCTGTAAGGCTCAGCCGCAAGAGACCAGTAGGAGGGCCCATGCCTCCACTCACGCTTGGCCAGATGGACATCAGCCAAGGTGGGCAACCTGGTCTCCTGCAAAAAGAAAATATCATTTTCCATCCCACTGATCAAAATGAAGGCTGTTTCTCTAGCACTTACAGACTTCAGGCTGGCAACATTAATGGTTGCCACCTTTATCGGAGCGGGAACTGCCATTAAGATAATTGAGAGGGACGTTTCTTAACCCTCCTACTGACTTTTTTAGCAGGGTCCCTTACACGCTTCAGGGGCCCTCTCGCCTCTTCATCCTCCATCAGAGAATTGGGATCAAACTCGCCCTCCTCCCCCGATAGAGCCCCAAACCGGTTTTCCAGGGCCACCTCCCCCACCTCCAGAGAGGAGACTGACCCCACAGAGGATAGTACAGGCCTATTATGCCTACCCCAGACACCTGGGACCACCCCTCCTCCTCCTCCTGAGTCCCTACCGGGACAGAACCCTGGGACTCCTGAGGCCCCTTACCAGGCTTCTCCCTCCGCAAAGGCAAGAGCACAGGGGGAGTAGCCATAACTACGCTAGACATGGCCTCCACCAACCCAGCCCCCCTAGCAGCCTCCCTCAGCTGTTTCTTGTTCCTAGGAGGGGGGACAGGCATGCCAGAAGGGGTGACAGAGGACACAACTGGGGCAGATGGGGCAGAAGGGGCAGACACCAAAGAAGCCTCAGTAGCCTCCACCTCCCCCGCCAGGGTAGCTGCCACAGCCAAAGCAGCCCCCACTAACTACTCCCCCGTCTCCTCCGCATCCATGCGGGAATACTCAGCTGCCAATTCTCCCACAGTGTTATGATCCGCCACGTGGTGCCTCAGGCTGCCAACTGACAGACCGACTCAGAGCGTGGGATCTAAGCCCGGGCTGTGTTTTCACCAGGGCCCCTGATGGGGGGGGTGGACTTGAAACAGTCCCGGGCCAGGTCACGACCTCCAAGCAGACCCACCAGTGGCTGAGGAGACCTCCGAGGACAGGTACCGGGAGAGCCAGATGTGAAGAGGATGGCGGCCCCAGCAGGGTAGTAACGGATCGTGGACCCGTGAGGGTAAGCGGGGTACAGAATCGGTAGGCGAGAGTAGTCGGGTCACACGCAGGGTCAGCAGGGTAAGTCAGTCCGTAGAATGGTCAGGGCAATCCGGGTCAAACACAGGAGCAGGCAGAATAGTCAGGACAATCCGGGTCAATCACAGGGGCAGGCAGCGTAGTCAGGGTCAATCAGGGTCAATCACAGGGGCAGGCAGCGTAGTCAGGGTCAATCAGGGTCACTAGACGGGTGCAGGAACTCAGAATCACAGAAAGACCTTGCGGCAATCTGTGACAGTGCAGGGCATCTTTAAATAGTGTGCCCTGCACTGTCATTGGCCGGCTAGGACGCGCCCCCGGCTGTCATTGGACGCCTGAGGCACACCCGCGGCTTCTACTGCGCATGCGCGGCGTCCTGTCAGCCGCGGCTCGCCGGGACCTAGTGCCTGTGTCCCGGCGCGATCTGCCGCCAATGCGCATGCGCGGGGGACGGCGCCGCGATCCTGGACTACGGAGCCGCGATCCCTGACACACAGGGAGGTTATGGAGGGCTTCTGGGCACCTGTTGTACGTGTGCCCCTCCGTACCACAGAGGTTGCACTTGATGGTATTGCAATCTCTTGCCAAGTGCCCTATCTCCTGGCAGAGAGAGCAACGTACGACCGGGCAGGTGGCAGCAAAATGCCCCTTAGCCCCACACCGGTGACAGACCCTCGGCTGGCCAGGATAAAAGATAATCAACCGATCCTTCCCCGAGAACGCAGAGGAGGGGACATGCTGGATAACATTCCCGACCACAAGGAGGCGAACGGAAGCCGTCCCCCCGCCGGTCCATATTCCCCGGTAATCCAGGACCTTTCCCAAGGGCCCCAACACATCTCCATACCTGCCCAACCAGACCTGGATATCTGCAGCAGGGATGGATTCATTCTGCACCAGGATTGTAACCTTCTTAACTAGGGACTGGCGGGATAAAGGCCGGGGAGTCAAGCCCACCCACCTGGGGCTGGACACAAAAGTGGCCTCATACCGCTGCCAAAATAAATCGAGTTGATCAGGCCACATGAAAGAAACATCATATTCCCTGGTCCCAACCGGGGCGATAAAGGCAAAAATTTCACTTGCCCAGAACCCCATCTCCGGGATTTGGTCGATTACTTCTCTCCTACTAAGGGGGGGACCCTCCCCTGTCCACTTAATTTGGACTACATTATGCCTGGCTGCTAAAGTGGGTAGGTTGCCTGCCCTTGCTCTGGCTGACCACATGGGCACTGGACCACCGCTAACCGTCGCAGAGTAGCTCAACGCGGGCTTAGGGACACTTATACCAGGGGAGCCTGCTTCAGGAGGAACCACTGCACTGGCAGCTAAGACAGGGGGCACAGGCTGTGAAACAACAGGACCCCGGGGAGCTGGAAGGTGGGCATCACTCACCCGGGCAGGGGAGCCCACCTGGACTTGACCCACAGGAGCCTGTACTAGGGGCTCAGAAGACCAATCCCCCTGAGGAGTAGTATGAGGCTGTACACCCGCAGCCGTCACAACCCCTGAGGGGGCGGGGCCCGGCGGGACTACTGGGG